TGGTACCTTCAATAGAAATAGAGAAGTTTGGAAGAAGCTAGGGAGAAAGATAATGAGTTCTGGTTTAGATATGTTAAGTTTAACATGTCTGAGACATCCAGTTTGAAATGTCCAACAGGCCATTGGTGATGTGAGACTAAAGCTAAGGGGAGAGACTGTGGCTGATTATAGATGTGAAAGTCATCTGCATAAAGATGATGATTAAACTGATGAAAGCTGATGAAGATACCAAGGGAGAGAGAGAAAGTATAGAGGAAAAATAAGAAGAGCCAGAGCAGAACCTTTTCACTACAGAGTTCTAAAGTTCTTTTCACCACACTTAAGTCAAAAGAGGAAATAAAATAAAATATATTATATATGACATAAAATATATAGGAGAATTATAGTCTGATATTAATTCCTAACTAGGAATTCTTGTATGGTAAATTCTGCATACAGATTATCAAGTATGGATGATAAAAATGCTAAATGTATATATACATATATACACACACACATATATATTGTGTATACATGTGTATGTATATGTATATATACATATACACATACACACATACATGGCTATGGTAACATACATGCTTTAAAAACAAAGACAAATTCTTACATAGGATAGTCAGCAAATGATGGAAATAATCACTGACAGATAAGACCATAAAAACATAGTATGTTTTAAAATTTATGAAGCACTCTATATACATTATTTCATCTAATCTTTACAAGAATTCTCTAAATTAGACCCTTTGGCTCTATCATATACCCTTTGTATAATCATGTTTGCAGATCAGGAAATTGAGGGTCAGAGAAGATGAATGACTTCGCTACTGCCCCTGCTACCTATCTAATCATCGAGCCCCTTCCCTCTTCCCTCATCTATATTCATCTTTTTTCCTTCGTCTTTTCTCTGCCATCTCCAACACATCTTTCATTCAGCTGCCAAAAGTGTCTTCTTTCTTGTCCCCCCACCTTAGGTTTCATCTCTTCCATCAAAGTTTTCCACGTGTTCTCACCTGAAAAAAACCCTCTCCCCCTAAACTTCTCATGCTACTTTGCTGTTCAATGCATTTCTACTGGGCAGAAATATTCTGTCATTCTGAAAGATTTGTTTTCTTGCTGATTTCTAACTGAAAAGCATCCATCATGTTTAATCATTTGTCTCATATTAGCTCTGCCTAGAAGGAATCTTGTCAAAAAAAACCAACAACCATTTTATACCATTGCCCCAGTTCCTAAAGAAGGAAGGAACCTCATAAAAGACCTCCTCTTTATCTATAGGTGTTGTTCCACTACGCTGGATTCCTGCATTAGTGCAAAAGAAGGGATTTCCTGGGAGAAATTAAAAGGGCTTTTCAGGAAATGTACCTACCTTATGGGTTTTTTTTCTTTTTGTTAGATGAGATCATTGTAGCTATTACATAGTGGTCTAACAACCAAAACTCAGGCATTAAAATATATTTGATTGGGATGGATTTAGGAGGACCTGCATTCAAATCTGGCCTCAGACACATAACCGTGAGCAAGTCATTTAACCCCATTGCTTGGCATATACATACATACATACATACATACATACATACATACATACATACATACACATACACACACACACACGTATGATTATGCCTAAGGGTTGGAACTAAAAATGCAGACATTGTGAGGTTTAGTTTCCATTCTAATTTAAAACCCGAATCCTTGATAGTTATTTTTGATAGCAGTGGAACACACACACACACACACACACACACACACACACACACACACACACATAGTAACCCTTAGGAAGATAGATATGCAGTCATTAGAGTACCCTATATACACAGTTGGGCAATTTGTATTTTCCCTTCCCCCCTTTTTTGAATATTCAGGCTCATTGATGTTAATAAATATTTTTCTCATTTTGAGGACCTCTAACTCAGTAGTATAAAGACACGTCCTATCTATCAACAAGTGGTTATTATGCTGAAGCATTTATCCAACTTCAGACATCATTGCTCAACTGCAACTATTCTCTTCAAAATTACCAATGATCTAATTGCCATATCTGATTGCTTTTTCTCAGTCGACCACCTTCTTCTCCTTGGTAGTCTTCTGTCTGCATTTTTGCTGCCTATTCCCCATGCCTAAAATGCCTTCCCTCTTCATCTTTGCCTCCTGGCTTCCTGGCTTTCTCCAAGACTCAGCTAAAATCCTACCTTCTGCAAGAAACCTTTCCATGTCCCCTTTACTGAGTGTGATTTCCCTCTGGGATCAGTGCCAATTTACCCTGTTTATATCTTGTATTACATAGTTGCCTGCACGTTGTTTCCCTTATTAGACTGTGAAGTTCTTGAGGTCAGTTTTTTTGTTACTTTGCATATTTTTTGGCCATTCTTTTTATTCCCAGCACTTTGCAAACTGCCTGACACATAATAGGTGAATCTATAACTAATGCTTGTTAATCAATTGCATAAGTCTGTACCATCAAGGATATTTTCCCCCATCACACAGACATCTTCCCAACTATCTTGTGCTCTTGAGTTGTGCCTCAAGAGAAAAATAGCTGCTCTCATATGCAAAATATTAAGAAGAAATTGTTAACAAGAGTTTTCTACAGTTTCTACAGTGAATTCAGCTATACAGAGGTGTCTCAAGATCATGGGTTTAGAATTGGAAGGGAATTACAGACCATCTAGTCCAATCCCCTCATTTTATAGATGAGACTTCAGGAGGTTGTGACTTGCCCAGGTTACACAACTAGTAGGTGTCAGAGGCAGGGTTTGAACCCATGTTTTCCAGACTCCAAGTTTATCATATTGTTATGCCATGCTACTTCTCCAGGTACAGTAAGACAGGCAAATGATAGAGTTGAATAGGTGCAGAACATCAGAATCCTTGTCCCAGCTCTGCCATTAGATATGTGTGACCTTGGGCAGTTCATTTCAACCCTCTGGGCCTCAGTTTACTCCTTTGCAAACCAAGTGGAATTGGACTAGATTATCTTGTAAAGTGCCCTCCAGTTCTGTGAACAATGGATTCTGTTCCATTACTTTCCATGATTCTCAACTCAGTAATTGCCCCTTTCCGAGAGTTTCCATTCCTGTTTTTCCTTACCAAAAAGTAGGAAGTCTTTTGGCTCTGCTAGCCCTATACGAGGTTATATTTATTCTAAATAGTCTTGAACAGAGGACAGTTCCCACAGGATTACTTGTACTGCAGAATGAGAAGCTTAGGTACAGATTTCCTCCAGAGAACCTTTTAAATAAATCACTAGTAGCTACCCTGAAAGCATTAGCATTATACTGAGTACAGCACGTGGTTTGTGAATCATTGATTTAATAGGCTGAGAAGATGCCTCCTGTTTATTTTATTTAGAGTTTGGGATGAAGGGAAATAGAAATACTTCTCAAAATTAATTCCGTCTAATAAAACTCTAATAAATTATCATTGTAATGAATTGAACATGTAAAACATTGTCTATGAATAATAGACATTGTTATGGACAAATATTATTTTTAAAATGAAGTTGGTTTTTCAAAATATTTCTCTCTATAAAAAATTAGTTATGGATTTCCATAGCAACCATAACTTCTGATTTCCTCTGGGGAGGAAGTGAGGATAATAAAATAAGCTCTTGAGGGCAAGAGATAGTTTGTTTTTGTCTTTATGTCACTAGAGCCTAGCACAATGCCTGATATAAAGTAGGTGCTTACTAAAATGCCTGTGAACTGATTGAATGGTTAATTAATTGATGGATAAAACTTCTCATAGTATTTATGCAGCTGCCTGGCTTTTAGATGGGGCTATTTTGAAGCTTTATCAAGCTTTGCAGTCACTAAGATTTATAATTATAACAAAAAGTTGTAAAGCAACAAATCTGGGTCAATAGAGAGAGCTTCTGTACCAAGAATTCCTACAATGATGTAATCACAGGTCCAGACTTCCTTTCTTCTTCCTTCACCTTAATCTCCTTGCTCCCCCCCCAAAAAAAAGCAGAAAGCAGAACTTACTTCGGTCTTTTTTGCGGATCTGACCCAGAAGACTCCAGGAATATTGCAACCTTAATACGTAATTGAAGTAAGGAGAGAGGAAAAGACTCGTGTGCATGAGAAATGAGAACTGAACCTCTTAAGTCAAGATCAGCTGAGAGGCAAGGGAGCTGCAGGTGGTCAGTATCATTGAGTAAATTGCGTTACCAAAGACACTAATTTGCAGTCACTTGCATAATGGCTACAAAATGCTCAAAAGATAAAAATACTAAGGAATTCAAAGAGGAAAATATCATATTATAACAATTTCCTTAGCAAACATACATAATAGTTTTTATTTCATTGAAATAGGCAGCTTCCCGATAAGAAAACACCTTCCACCAATACAAATCAGCTACTGTTTTGTATCTTAAAGTCTCGGGGAGTTGGGGGGAGGGAGAATGGCACACAAATCGTATGTGTTAGAGTTGAAATTTGAACCCAGATCTTCCCAACTGAGGCTGGCTTTTCATCTACTCTATCCCTCCTGACTCTCACATACACATAATAGTATGCTTTAATTAAAAGCCTGTGCAGCAAGGCTGTAATAGGTAGAGAATTATTAGGCTTGATTAGAAAAATAGTTTAGAAACTCATAGATTCAGAGCTGGAACAGATTTTAGCAGACATCTAGTATATACTGATACTGATTCATACAATTAATGTACCGACAACATTCACTGAGGCAAAGATGAAGGTGTAATCCATATGTGAACGGATCATTTACATAGGATATACCTATATACATGTATATTGTACAGATAGATTAAATAGATAAAATGTGTATGTGTGTGTAATACATATTTATATACATATATATATATTTCTATGTGTGTATCATAATTCCAAGTATAAATTACGTGAATCTCTAGTCTAACAGTAATAACAATAGCAGTCATTAAAACAATATTACTAACACCACAGGTTGCCACCACACTTTCTAAAATGAACAGCTGTTAACCTAATTGAAACACACACTGTTCCACCTATATTTTCCAGATCTTCGCAAGACTTTTGAACAAGAACCTTTAGGAAAGGAAGTGTCCTTGGAACAGGAAGTCCTGCTACAATGTCGCCCACCTGAGGGCATACCCACGGCTGAGGTGAGTGACCAACAATTTCCTGCATTTAACAACTGGCACTTAGTTACCCTAACTGAGGCCTAATCCATGGCTAATGGTGCAGTGAATTAAGGTATGGCGTGATAAATGGGTAATAATGGAGTCCTAACTGCCTGCTGCTGGCAGAATAGATTGATTGGGAACTGATTGATGACTTGGGAGTCAATTAGAATGCCCCACTAGACAGGGTTATAGGCAACTCAGTTTTATTTTTTTCATTCTCTTTCAAGAAAAAGGAACATTGCAGTATTTTGTCTGGCACCTGGTAAGTAAGCTGCCTGATAAGATATATGAATGTGCCACTGTTTCTTTCTTTCTCTTTCTTTCTCTCTTTCTTTCTTTCTTTCTTTCTTTCTTTCTTTCTTTCTTTCTTTCTTTCTTTCTTCTTTCTTTCTTTCTTTCTTATCAAAAGAACAGGATCGGGGCCATAGCAGGTTTGAAACTATATTTCTCTGAATATTTTCATGATTTTATCCTGGCTACAGCCAGACTTGCAAGGTCCATGTCTACATGACAGCAGACACTAGTTTGGGGCAGGGAATTAGCTGGTTCATGTGTTTGTGTTAGCTTTTTAACTTGGGAAAGTTTAGCCCAACATTTATTGCATATGTTTATTTCTGCTGCAATGAAAGAAGTGTAACATACAAAAACCTTCTGGCCACCTGCCAAGAAGTCATTCCAGGCCAAATCTTCTCCTACTTATCTTTAACAAGCAAAAGTGCTTTTCCATATGTAGACGTGCTTACCCCTGCTATTGCTTAGTACCATAGACTGGAGAGGTCTGATAAATGGCTTCCCAAACCTTGAGCAGAACAGTGAGCAAAATCAGTCTTCTAGCATTTGTTATGCTAATTGGTCATTTAAAAACATAGGACTCATTCCTCTCAGACCACAAAGGGAAAAAAAAACCCTACTCTGTATTGAAAGTTTAGTCACTTTATCTCAGTTAATGACCTCTAGACTAGGACTTTCATTAGGTCACCAGAACAAAGGATTCTGAATTCATTTGCTGATTAGTAAATTAGCAGTTAACTTGCAAACTGCTAATTACATTGTACTACTTGAAAGTTTATTATTTTCAGTGACTTTTATTTCCTCTCTACTGTATAAAACATCATTTCTAAGTAATAATAAGTTGTGACCACCTCTACAGCAGAATGATTTATCAAAAACGTTAAGTGTTAGCTCCCTGTTGGACAAGTTAGGGTTTCTGAGAACATCTCAGTTTTCAGAGAACAGAGAATTAATAATTAACAAAGTAGTAACTGTATGACTCCACCCCTTTGCCCATTTTAGGAGGTGAAAGCAAGAACATTTGATTCTTAAACATCAGATTGATTTCACTTTAAAAAAAAAACCTTATCAGTAAATTATCTAAGAACCCCACACCAATCTGAAACTTTGGTTGGGATTAACATTTGCAATTGAACATGTCACATGGAAATACCTAAAGGTGACATTTCATGATTTTTCTGGAATTCTCTCAAATCTGAGACTTAGCCATGGTTACAGTTGTTCCATCAAACAGTGAAAAACCTGATGCCCTTGGAAGTGAGATCAACAGTATGATTCAGTCTGATTAGTAGGAAGGCAATACTTATTTCTGTTGATATTTCATCTGTAGATGTATCTGTAGCTACATCTGTCTCCTTAATTGTATTTTTTAAAAACTCTAATGTAAACCTCTTCCATTACACTACATTAAAAACCAAAATCTGTCATGGAGGCATCATGTATTTCTATAGATATATGATTGTAACTCAATGTATCTCACAGTGAACTGATCTCAGCAAAAATCTCCAGTAAGAAGAGATCCTAATAATTACACATCTTTTCTAAGCTCCATAACAGAGTGGTGTACTTTGTCAAGTAGTAAAGATGCATGACTGCAAGCTAATTGGCTGTGAATTTTATTTGTACCATCATCAGGGAAGGAACCAATTAACACTTGGCAAGCTCAAAAATCATATACCCATTTGACACTAAAAAGAACTATTCTTAATGTGTTTTTCTTTTTCCTTTTTGAAGTCAGAAGAGAGATCAAGCATGCATACTGGCTAGCAGCCTAAGACAGCTTCTGTGTGGACTCTTTTCAACACAAGTATAATCACAAAGACCAGAGGCTAATGAATATCTTAATGTGACACTTTATTACTGCCATTTGCTGAACAGGGTGAGATAAATTAAAAAAGGAAAAAGATGAAGGGTAACTTGGTAGGTTGAAGGATTACATGATTACTTTAATTTAGAGATGGATGTATTCCTTGTTTAATAGTTCATTTATTTGTTTGAAGAATATTCTTAAAGTATAGAAGCATTGTTAAACAGAAGTGTGACTCTTAAAGGATCTTGGGCCCATAGATTTACAACTGAAAAGGACTTTAGTCTAAACCCCTCATTTTCTAGATAAGAAAATTGAGGCTCAGAGAGGTTAAATGACTTGACAAGCAGAGAAATTATTTGAATTAAGGTTTTCTGAAGCCAGAGCCAAAAAGTTACAGAATCTTCTAGAAGAGCAGCTATTGGGCCCAAAGGGGCAAAGGATGGAGCCTTTTTTTAAACAAGTATTCCAGAGTGAGGCACATAGGAGGTTCTCAAAATATATTTGTTGTTTGTTTCATTGCTGCCTGATCTTTAGTACATTGGGGTAACGAGATGGTGCAGTGGATGGAGCACCGGCCCTGAAGTCAGGAGGACCTGAGTTCAAATCCGGCCTCAGACCAAACACTTCACACCTACTAGCTATGTGACCCTGGGCAAGTCACTTAACTCCAACTGCCTTAAAAAAAAAAAAAAGAACAAGATCTTTAGTACATTAAAATTGTACCAACACTTTTAAAGGGATAGAGAAAGCACACACCTTCCACTCTTTCTGGATATTCAGTGACGTTTTCCCCTCCATCCCATTTCAGGCTAATTAATATCTAATGCATTCCATCTGCATAATCTTACAGCACCACAATGACCTATTATGTTTTTCTCCAACTTCAATGCATTTATGATCACTGTATTTTCATTGTTTCATCTTTTAAAGATATATGCTTTTATTGGATAAATTTTGCACATTAAGTGATTGACTACTTAGACTACTAACTTCTAAAAATATTTTAACTTTAAAAAATCTTTCCCAAATGTTGTTTCTACTAACTCTCAGTTGTTGTGAGTGGTCTTTGATTTTTCTTTACTATGTTATTTTAGCTTCTATTAAAGATCATTGATATCATATCCTTCAGTATCAATTATCTTTTCTGTTTGACCCAAGGCAAATATGGGTATGCAACCAAGTTCCTAAGAAGTCAACAGGCAGTAGCAGGATGTTAAAGGCTATCTTGAATCAAGTACAGAATATAAGCTTATTGATGAGCGGTGACTGGTTCATTGGTGGGGAGGGGGGTGGGGGAGCATATCTTTAGTACTTACCTCTCCAGCACTTACTTTTTAAATGCCCACTAAACTGAGTTGGATGAACACATTGCCTCTTAGTTTATATGGAAGTGAGAATAACAGAAGAGGGGAGACATGCTTTTCAGTCAATCAATAAGCATTTTACTATGTGCCAAGCACTGTTATAAAGTGAGACAAGGACACAAAGAAGGCAAAATCCCATTTCCTGCCCTCAAGAAGCTCACAGTCTAACAAACAGACTTTGAGAAATGTCTTGATAATTTTAAAATGATCTTTCCAACACATCTAAGAACACCACATCAATCTGAAGCATTGTTTGGGATTGACAATTAGCAATTAAACATGTCACATGGAAAACACATGGCAATATTCCTACAGGTATTTTTATTACCTTTCAAGAGGAGAAATACCTTGAAGGTGACATTGCATGTTTTTTTTTTCTGGTGTTCCTCTCACATCTCAGCCTACCTTGATAGAATACCTGTTCTCTTCACGCATTTTCACAGTGCCCGTTGTCCATTTCTATCCACTGGTTCCAAAAGCAATGGCGTGTAGAAAAAAATAAACTTCAACTTTGTTCCTACTCAATAGGGAGGTTGAGGCAAATCCACTCTTCAAAACCATTGCTGACTCTTCTCCTTCTGAAGCCAAAAGAAAGAAATTGTAGGCATGAAAGAAGCAAGAGCCAGGACAAGTCACTTTTTTTGCTAGTTGACATTATATTTATCCCCACATAAGGGCAGGAAACACCTCCCTTCTGTCTCTCCCCCCAATTAGTTCTTTATCTATCCTCATGAAAACAGTGAGGTAGAGAAACCAAGCATTGGTCACATGAGTGTAAGAGCCCCAGGTTGAGAATGAGCATGCCAATGGTGTGGCATGAACAGGGCTTGCTGCCAGCTAGTTATCAGGAACTAGGATTTCTCTTGCCAAGTGTATTTTATTATGATAGACCTTGGGTCTGACCACTGCCTTTGACACTTACTAGTTTATAATCATAGTAAGAGTCACCTAACCTCCCATAGTCTCAATACCTTCAGTTTTAAAATGATGAAAATCACATTTATCCTGCCCACTTCAAATTTGTCATGAGAAAAATGTTTTGCAAAATATACCTTGAAGGAGTATGTAAATATTAGCTATTATTATAATTATTAAATAAATGTGAGCTATCATTATGAAGAAAGAGAATTCAGTATTTATGAGATAAACACATTACCATGTAAACTTGGAATTCAGAACAAAACATTAGGAGAATAATTTTTATACTCTGCTTATAACAAATGCTGACCAAAACCAGTCATACAAGGAGAGGTGAAAATTTGGAACAAACATGGAAAAGAATAAATATTGGCTCTCAAAATATTTTAATTCATGTCTTCTGTAATTACTTAAATTGTTAGGTGTGGTGGCAGCCACCTATTCTCCCTGTTAATGGGGAGACTGAGGCTGGTGGATCCCTTCAGCATGGGAGATCTGACCTGCAGTAGGTCTAAAGCTGACCACGTGTCCCCAGTAAGTTCTTCACCAATATAGTGATCCCCTGAGAGTAGGGGGAAGGTATCAGCTGCCTAAGG